ACGTTTTAACGCGTCGACGTTTTAACGCGTCGACGTTTTAACGCGTCAACGTTTTAACGCGTCAACGTTTTAACGCGTCGACGTTTTAACGCGTCGACGTTTTTAACGCGTCAACGTTTTTAACGCGTCAACGTTTTAATGCGTCAACGTTTTAATGCGTCAACGTTTTTAACGCGTCAACGTTTTAACGCGTCGACGTTTTAACGCGTCAACGTTTTTAACGTAAGGCGTCCCACCCGGCGCCCCAGGATGCGGTTTATGGCGGCGCTCTCCCTCTCCCGTCCCTCCTGCTGGACTTTGTGCCTCGTCTCCTTCATGAAGAGCATGAAGGCGTTCAGAGGCTTCTTCACCGGCTGCCGGCTGCCGACACACAGGTGAGACGCAGGTGAGCACATTACCATCAGGTACGTTTTGTAAAAGACGGCGGCCGAGACACAACCAACACCGTCTGGGTGAGAAACGGTTTTAACCCTTCAGACACTCACCTGGTGACACTGTTGTCGTGGTAACAGGGGCGTGTCCAAAAGGTAGGGTCGGCAGCGGGCTCACTGATTGGCTGACTGTACGGAGCGACGGGAGGAAGGTGTCTGTCGCTGTAGAGGAGGAGGGGAACCAGAGGATGGACGGAGGACTGCAGAGAGAGGAGTGTTCAAATTTAAATGTTCACTTTTTAAAATTTAGTTGAAATTATGTTTTTTATTTTTAAAAGCAGCTAGTAGTTTTTACACTGTGTTTATTAAACTCAGGTCCCTGAATGCAGCACTGATCCTGTCCATTTAATAAACACTGCATGCATCAACGCTCGTCTGTTTCTAATCTCTTCCAGGTAGCAAGAGACCAATCTACCCGTTTAACAAAGGCCCCGCCCACAGGAAGTGAGGTCAGCCTGCAGTTCTCCTCAGGCTTTGGTCAGTCGACACAGAATGAATGACATTAGTTTGGCCAAATATCCGTAAACACAATGACCACTGCATGACAAGAACTCGTGTTTAAACCTTTAGTGTTGTTTTTGATCATCAGTCGCGTCTTATCTCAATTCTAACTGGATCTTTCCGACTGTTATCCGGCAGTTTTTGACGTTAACAGGATGAGAAAGCAGCTTGTAGCTTATAAACTCAGCTGTTAGGAGGCGAAACAACTGCACAATATGGTCATCACATCAGACACACGCATGAAGCCTGCGGGCAACATGCAACACTGATCGTGTTAGAAAGGAAACATATTGGCTTCGAGGGAAACATAAAAACACATATTTACATCGCATAACATTACGGTGACTACACTTCCTGTCCTGGAAATAGAAAACTAACCTTAAACTTAGATCATTCTATGTAACTATATTTTAATATAAATCCAAAGTCCCACAAAGACACTACAGAATTAATTTAATTCAAGTCTTAACCACAGTTTTCATATTAAAATTTAAAGACTTGAATAAAGTCCCTTCTTTCACTGTACTCAGCGCTGAGGTCCCACATTGTATGTTATACAAGAACACTTACACACTCCTGAGTGTGTGACGGGTCGGCTCGCCCCCTGCTGGTCAGACTGTGGTACTGCTGCTGGGGAGGTGGACACCAGTCAGACGCCTGCTGTGTCCCTGAACAGACAGAATAAGCTCCGTTAAAATACAGCACAGGTTTTAAAGTGTCCACAGTTAAACGTTTTCTGTTTTTAACCCACCACAGCTCGA